CCCCCAACCCCCTAATCAGCCCTACCCTGAGCGTGACCGAGGGTGACATCGCAACCTCCCGATCCACCCTGCTCTCTGCATGACAGGGGCAGCGCCCCAACTCCCCAATTTGCCCTGCTCTGAGCCCGACCAGGGTCTGCACCTAGGGATTGGGCCCGCCCTCTGCCACCCGGGAGCAGGCCTAAGCCAGCAGGGCGTTATCTCCAGAGGGGTCCCAGACTGCGAGAGGGCACAGGCTGGGTTGAGGGACCAACCCTCCCCACCCCCCCGAGTGCACAAGTTTTTGTGCACTGGGCCTCTAGTTTTACTATAAGAAAATACTGCTGTCTGACTCTTGGTTAGAGTGTAGACAGTGAAGAAGTGTAGCTTTCTTTTATTGAATCTCTCTCTCCGATACAGACAAAATGCTTTGATGTTTGATATTCCAATGAATACCAGAGGAGCAAAGTAGATGGAACTGTGGATGAGAGAGGTTTAGCTATAGGTTGCTGGTTTACAGGCTTGGGTGATGGATATGTGTGTCTGTGTGTGTGTAGAGGGGGAGGGAAGGTCTTGTGTGCATTATACTACTCTATCAGCTTTTTAAATTAAAAAATTCTTACATGACTTTTTAAATAACTTAATCCATTTTGGAGCTGCAAATAATATTATCCATAGCTGCTTAGGAACATCAACAGTGTATTAATCAGTGAACCAACTTTCTATAAGGAGCTGAAAACCTAGACCACATCTGGATCTCTTAAAGCTTTGTACACTGTAAGTTATCAAGAAAACAAAACCATTCTTAAGAAGATACAAATAAATGGGTGCATATATTGTGCTAATGGACAGGAAGGATTAACTTCTTTAAAATATACTCACCCAGCCAGCCTGGTTCAGTGGTTGAGTGTCAACCTATCAACCAGGATGTCATGGTTCCATTCCCAGTCAGACACATGCCCAAGTTGCAGTCTCAATCCCCAGTGTGGGGAGTGTAGGAGGCAGCCAATAAATGATTTTCTCTTATCATTGATGTTTCTTTCTCTCTCTCCCTCTCCCATCCTCTCTGAAATCAACAAAAAAATATTTTTTTAAAAATGTCCTTACCCTGTCCAGTGTTTCTAAGTCGTTAGAGAATTGGCCCCGTGCACAGAAGGGTTGCCAGTTCAATTCCCAGTTAAGGGCAAAAAGGGTCCTGGGTTCTATTCCAGTCAAGGGCAGGTACCTCGGTTGCAGGTTCCTCCCTGGTCTGGGGTCTGGCCCAGGCTCCTGCAGGAGGGAACCAATCAATGTGTTTCTCTCACATCAATATTCTTTCTTTCTTTCCCTCTCTCTTCCACTCTCCCTAAAAATTAATGGAAAAATATCCTCAGGTGAGGATTAATAACAACAAAAGTTGTCCATACTACCCAAAGCAATCTATATGTCCAATGCAATCCCTATCAAAATACCAGTGGCATTTTTCACAGAACTAGAACAAATAATCCAAAATTTTATATGGAATCACAAAAGGCCCTCAAATAGAAACATCAATCTTGAAAAAGAAGAACTAAGTTGGAGGTATCACACTATCTGATAGCAAGCTAGTCTACAACTCTATAGTAATCAAAACAGCATGGTACTGGCATAAACAGAAACAGAGATCAATGGAACATAATAGAGAGCCCAGAAACAAAACCACACCTAAATGCTCAATTAATCTATGGCAGAGGATATAAGAATATACAGTGGGGTAAAGACAGTCTTTTCAATAAATGGTGTTGGGAAAACTGGACAGATACATACAAAAAAATGAAACTAGACTACCTTCACACCATATACAAAAATAAACTCAAAATGGATTAAAGACTTAAATATGCGACCCCAAACCATGAAATTCCTAGAAGAAAACATAAACAGCAAACTCCTTGATTTGCTCTTGAAAGGAAACCATCAACAAAACAGACAACCTACGGAATGGGAGAAGATATTCACAATGATACATCTGATAAGGGGTTAATATGCAAAATTTACAAAGAACTCATACAACTTAATACCAAAACAATAAACAATATAATTTAAAAAATGGGTAGAGGGCTTGAATATACATTTATCCAAGGAGGACATAAAGATGGCCAATAGACTTATGAAAAGATACTCAATGTCACTAATCATCCGAGAAATGCAAATTAAAACCACAATGAGATAACACCTCACACCTGTCAGAATGACTACCATCAATAAATCAATAAAGGATGTGGAAAAAAGGGAACCCTCATGCACTGCAAATTGGAATTTTGAGATTGGTGCAGCCACTATGGAAAACAGTGTGGGCGTTCCTCAGAGAATTAAAAATAGAACTACCTTATGACCCAGCAATTCCACTTTTGAGTATTTATCTGAAGAAATCCAAAGCACGATTTTGAAAAGACATACACATCTCTGTGTTCATTGCAATGTTATTTACAATAGCCAAGATATGGAAGGAACCTAAATGCCCATCAATAGACAAGTGTATAAAAAAGCTGTGGTACATATATGCAATAGAAAATTATTTGACCATAAAAAAATAATGACACATTACCATTTGCGACAACATGGATGGAACTATAGGATATTATGCTAAATGATATTAGTCAGACACAGAAAGACAAATGCCATACAATTTCACTTATATGTGGAATCTAAAGAACAAAATAAATGAACAAACAAAACAGAAACAGACTCAGATACAGAAAACAAACTGATCATTTCCAGATGTAAGGGAGACTGGGGGGCTGAGTGAAAATGTGAAAGGATTAAGAAGTACAGACTCACATTTAGAAAATAGTCATGGGAATGTAAATTACAACATAGGTAATATAGTCAATAATACTGTAATAATTCTGTATGGTGCTAGATGGATACTAGATTTATCAAAGGATCACTTCATAAGTTATGTAAATGTCTAACCACTATGCTGCACTCCTGAAACTAATATAATATTGAATGTTAACTGTAATTGAAAAAAATAAAAAGAGCCTACCACAG